GCTTTTGTCTGAATCTCCCAGAGCAACACCCAAAGCCCCTGTTCCCAGTTACCTCTTTTAGACCCTATGTTTGTCTCTATTCCATAGGGCATTTGCCCTGGGCCTGCGGGGCCTTGATGTCACACCTGGGTCTCAAGCTACAGCTGCTCACTCGGGCTGTGGTGCTGCGGGGCTATACAGCCCTTTTGAACCACTAAACTGGTTTTGGACTCATGGCCCAAGCCTGTAATCCCTGATTGCCCCTGCACAGCTCACCCATCAGTAAAAATCACTGCTCCAGGAATTCTTATTCAAACCAGCTATTGGGTCAGAGAAAGAATACTTTAGAAAAATCAGGAAGGTACGTTCATAAATACTATTTTTTGGCTAATATGCGTGTTGGACCCCATAGTCTCTTTCAGCTATTCATATTCTCTGTGACTGTCTCTTCCTTAACTCGAGAGCATCCAAGGAACTTTGGCAGTGCTCCTGCAAAAATGGCTTGGTTGCTTTAGTTGCAAGTTACAACAGTGACCCTAACGTGCCAGATAGGTAAAGTGCTAGCTTGTCAGGGGTCTCTTTAAGAGAATAGTTTAAAAATGGGAAGCTTGTTTCTATTCAGTATTGCATTTTGGTTCAGTAATAGCTATCAAACTGGCAAACTGGTCAAATAGCTCTGACCAATGAAAAGTCATTGTCAAACAAAAGAAGGAACAAGAACCTCATCTGCTGTTTTTCTGGATTTAGGATTGAGAATCTGGGCATCTCTTTCCCATCCCCACTGTAAACTCTTGCCATGAGGTCCTTCTTCACTTCTTCATTATTTCTTCACTTGTGCTAGGCTAGCCCTTTACACATTCTGACCTGTGTGGTCCAGGATCTTCAGTGATGTTTGCAGGACAAACATTCCTCTTTCACTTATGGGTGACGGGGTGGTGGTGAGGAGCAGCAGATAGTTTATGTCCAGCGACTCTTATGAAAATCAAACTAGGAGGAAGCAGTTTGAGTCGTCTGCCCTGACTGTGTTTTCCATTGCTGGAGAGCAGAGTAATTATCAGTGGAATGCATGGCTGCGTTGTTCTCGAATGTCCCTCAAGAGTGTCTAAGTTCATGTAAGCAGTTTAGAGAATGTTCCTCTCTCTTTCTATCATGAACAGGCCCCCATTTTACCGTCCTCCCTGCAGCAGAACCTGCATGTAGCTGAGTGTCCATCTGGAGAGGATGATGAGTCTGGCTTTGTAGCAGAGCATCGTAGCCACTTATGCATGGGGAAAATAGCAAAATCGTTAGATTCTTTACATATGCTGGAGTGTCACACGGCATTAAGATGAATAAGATGAATAAAGTGCATTTATGCATGATGGCATGGGTGTGATTGATTGTTAGTGACAAAGCAGGACTCTGCATGTTTTAGAAAAACCTTAGAAAGATTTTTAAAGCAGCTTTATAATAGATCTCTCTATTTTTGAGGCAGGATCATATTCTGTAATCTACACTCCTTTACAACTCATTAACTTGGTAAAAGAACTTGAATTCTTTTGAGAAAAGATTAAAAGCTGATTTTGAAATTTAGGACAGAACTATAGCCACCATTTAAGAGAAGACACCACGTGAAATTCAGGTTGGGACAGGAGTGGAATAGAGAGAGAAGGCATTTTGGAGGCTCAGGTTGCCTTGTGGCGCTCTAGGGACACCTGAGCAAATCTACTTGGGACGTTGACCTAGGCTTTCCAGGTGTGCATCTGAACGGAGACTCCTGTATTACTGAGGTTCCTCTTCCCTCCTGAGACTGCATGCTGCTCAGCCAAGGCCCCCAAGGATATCTCATACCTCACCTCTTACGGTCTCACTGTGGCTGTCTTTGAGCACTCTTGGACCATTGAGAAAATCCCTGTATGACTCTTGGCTACTGGCTGCTCCTCATGACTTCAAAGCTGTCCCCTCTGTTCACTCTTTCACTAATGCAATTAGCCCTGTTCTCAGCTCTCCTGAAATGTTCTCAATGATCCCGTTGCTTGTGGGATGTCATCTCCAGTTTAGTGTGGTGATGAGAGGCCTTGCTCACTTCTCCCCACTCCTCACACATTAGATCTAATTAATGTTAACCCAAATCTAACCTTGACTTCTTTATAAATGTGTTTCCTTACCTGTGGAGATAGAGGATGTGGGTACGAGAGGTCCTCCAGGACGTGGAGACACTGTAGCTCGCTGTTGCTTCGTCCTTAACACCTTACCCCCCTCCCCCCTTCTGGTAATGATGTCCACAATTTGTTATTTTGAAGTAAACATTTAAAAATCAACATATTTCATGAGACATAAGCTTTATAGTGTCTTTTGATATGTTTTTTGTTGTTGTTTTGTTTTATTTTTATTTTATAAATATTCTTGCCTATATGCTTCAGAAGGGCAGGGCAAGCCAGGGAATCCATATAGGAGATTTAAGAATCTGGCACTGATTTGTGTACTTGTCTGTTCTCAATCTGCAAATACTGTCTCAATAGCATAGATATTGTTCTAAAAACACCACATTGACTAACCAGCCTTTATTTGTTTTGGGTAAACTTAACATTAGAATGCTGTAAGAGGATAGACATAAAAGTGAGGGGTCTCACAGCACGTTGTAAGATCACCATGTAATCTTTCCATCCTTCTGTCCCATGTTATCTTCTAGTATTGAATATAATAACTAATCATCATTAAATCATAGGAATTGGCTTAGCCAAATTTTCAAAGTGTGCTTAAGGTTATCAGCAGAACTAGGGTAATAGGCTATATTCTGGCTCCCTCTAGTGGTGGTTGTTTGCATGACAAATCAAGCTTTTTTTGTTTCCATTTTAGTTTCAGCTTCCTTTCTGTGGTGAGGGGGGAGGCACATAGGTGGGGAAAGATTGTAGTTATTCTGAGTGTTGACAGATAAAAGACAGGAAGTGAAGTATTTTGTAAATCTACAATTATAATACAAGTATCTCCAAAGAACAAAATAAATTGCCATTAAGATGCACATTAAAGTAGAAGGAATAAGATTTTATTGCTGTGCTGTTTTTCTTGCTAAGAGGGCCTAAGACCACAGCATACAACACAACCAAAGGCACAGTGTTCTCTGGGGTTCTGTAGCATTGGAACATCCCAATGCTATGTGTCTCAAACCCTACTTTAACCAGATGTCTGGGGAATACTCAGATTATTCCAGAAGTTTTTCCAAAACTAGACTTTTTACTTAGAAACAAATAATTTTGGCATTTTCAAATATCAGTTCTTTTCCTTTCCTAGCATCTTGGCAGGAGGTTAAGGTAAAACTGCAGAGTTTCTGGGTCACTAGCTTTACTCTCCTGGTCTCCAGGTTTCTTGCTTCATCTTACTCCTAGGAGCCATTAAAAGTATCCTCTGTCCCCACGCTCTTGTTAAAAATGATGAAGCAGTGTTTGGTTTATTTTTAAGTTAGCAAGTCTATATACATGTTACATAGAACATGCTGTTTTGAGCTGCATAGACACTGTGGAGTGTCTAAACAGAACCGACTGATGCGTGTCCTTTCTACCTTCAAGTTTTTTTAGTACTAACATGCCACACCCATTCTTTCCACAGTTTTCAAGAACCATTGACAACGGGGCATTGCTATTTATAGTCAATATGTAATTACAATTTCCTGTGTAGTTAATTTTATTTTTTATAATAAAACCTCACAACCATTTGATGAACAGTCCCTTTTTCCTCCAATAGCTTCACTCAGCAGTTAATTAGCTGTTCTTATTTATGTTGTACAGAGGAGAGGTCACCTGAGTGAACAAGGCTCCCAATAGGCTCACTCCTGAGCCGGGAGTTTTGAGATGCCGTCCATGTGTCTGGTACCCTGCAGAGGCTCCTTTGAGGGATGGAGACCCTTGCTCATTTTTCTGTCCAGGAGCTGAGGCTTCGTGGATGACTGCTAGGATACCTCAATCCAGACAGATGCATCTTCCCCACTGTCATTCTTACTCAAAAGAAATCACATAGCAGACCGTCCTGTGTTGTGCTTGATTATGAGAGTTTGAGCCATCATGTTTATCATAAAGAATGCAGTTAATGAGAAAATGCATTCTGGATCTAGATGGTTTCCTCAGTGAGTCTGTTAAATGACTGAAAGAAGAATAAGATTACTAAATACAGATGCTAAAACTGTTAGCAGTGCACACTTGGGCTTCTGTGCTGAAGGTCTTCATAAGGAGTTTTTAAAATATACAATCGAAAGTAATTTAGAGTGGAAAAATTCTTCAACGCACCACCAAGCAGTTTCTTTAAAGTTGGTGATTATAAAGAGTTGCTTCCTTTGAACCATTTTACCTGTACTGTGCTATTTAATTCTTACAATAGTCTAATGATCACTATTCTCTGAAGACCTAGCTAGAGGAAGAAGCCAAAACTAGTGAGTGTAGGCAGTTGCTTAAAATTAACAGGCTAATGAAGGTGAAACCCGGATTTGATCTTGTGTGATCAGGCTCAAGAGCTGGCATGCTCAACCATTTTGCTGCTCAGTGATGTCTGCTGAGCTGGGAAATATGTGATATCTGTGTGGTCCAAAGTGCACCAGAGACTGTGATGACTGAGTGCTTAGAATCAGGCCAGTTCATCCACGGAAATAAAACATATGGTTTTAAAACTAACTTTAACTTAAATAGTTTCACATACCTAGTGGATACTACATTGAGGAAGACAGATTTATTTGATTTTTAAAGATATTCCAGTATAAGGTACTAGATGTTTGGGGTTAATGCATTTAACTCCCTGCTTTCCTGAAAGGGGACTGTCCCTCACATGTATTGGTAATCTGATTTAAGTCATAAAATTAAAAGAGCCGGAACACAGGTGTATTAGCTGAGCTTTCTTTTACGCTTTCCAGTCATGACTCTTCCCATTCTATCCTTTTCGAATCTATAAATTTATATTTTTCATCATTGTTAATATTGAATGGGAAAACTGTTGCTTTTGAGGAAAGTGTTAAACTTTATTAAGTACATGCTTAATAAACATCTTTTTTTCTTCAGGTTATAGAAACATTATCTCGGTTATCCCGAACACCAATAGCCTTGGCCACAGGAATCAGGTAAGTCCATGTCTCTGTGCTTCCTGTCTCCCATGTAGTTCAGTGCAATGTTATCTCCTGAATGGTTATTGTTTGCAAAGCTCTTTGTGCTTGGTACGTTAATTGTCACACACACGTTCGAGATTTATTGAGCAATTAAGAACTTATTATTCATAGACTTGAATGAGACACATTGTTCTCAGTTCGCTGGTGGCTGTCACTGGTTATGGCTCTCTTTAAAAAAAATCCTCAGCATTTCTATATGTATAATTCATTAAGACAAATGCAAATGTTTTAGTACATAAATATTTAAAAATATAATGTATTTGATTCCTGTAGAAGAGACCATAACAATAACTCACAACTTTTATGAGTTTAAGGAATGATCAGACAAGCATCAAATGACATAGATTCAGAAGGATGTGTGTGGAAGGTTGGGGTAAGACATGGAAAACTCAGAAGTGGATTGTTTATCTGTGTCTCCTCCATGCAGAGGAATATGGTACTGTTCGTAAGCATGGAAGTAGAGATGTGTTTGTTTTTCAAGCTTTTTCTGTATTAGATTCTGTCCTCTTACTTAAGTTGGAACAATCAGTAAAGAATATAAGAAACAGGAAATGAACAAGATAGAACTGGGCTATCTGGAGAGAGAAGTGTTAGTTCATAGCTGATTTCTTCAAGGCTTTGTTTTTGCGTTCTTGTCTCCAACAGTGAAGGGCTTTGTCAGCCTCTAGCTCTGCCTTTTTGGCTTCATGTTTTTGTGCCCAGGTCATATCATGTTCTGAGGGTGGGAATCCAAGTGTGTCTCAAAGGAGTGTTCACACTGGCTCGGTAGCTCAATTACTGGATGCAACCACAGTGGTCTCAGGGAGGACATCTTGAAGACTCTTTCTCAGAAATGGGCCATGATTTTATCAGTTGTCTGTAGAAATAGCGTGCCAGCTGGCTGATTCCTCAATTCCTTCTAGTTTGCTCTTCAGGACGGTGTAGCTGTCCATGTCCCTATGTCATTATATATAAGCAGTCGATTTTGAAACAAGCATGGCCTGCTTTGTAAGATCTTTTGATTCTGAAAGTATGCCCATCAGAAGTCTGTTTTCATTTTAAACTTTTCTTGTCGTATTCATAGTACTGCCCCATAATTCTTGGTAGTGATCCTGTATAGATACGAAAGTCCAATAAAATGTGCCTATGTTGCAAAAGAACAACCCTGGAAGCTTGGTTATGCATATTCATTTATTTGAAAAAAATGTAGGTCCCTGTGTTATCTTAAGTATTAAATTAATTCATAGTATATTCAAAGTTAAAATGATTTTAAATAATAAAAATATAACAAAAAGTATGACTTTCAGTGAAACTCTTTAGTATTTTTTTTGATGGATCCTTTTTATAAACATGAAAGAATCATGCTTAATATCAAAGAGTGGAACATTTGTTATTACAATCTAGTTACTATGGTAATTTTTAGGTGTACTTTTAAAGCATTATTTTGGTCATAAGGAAACATGTTATGAGCCAAACAAAGATGCCAAATAATAGGAGTGGAGAAAAATTAGAGTGTGATTATTTTTAATACAGGACAAAAACAACTCTCCAGTCTCTTTGGAGTCTACTCTGTTCATTTCTCCAAACTTGGATTAAAAACAAAAACAAAAACAGTTTAAATACTCTGATGTCTGATTAGGGAAATCTGCCAGGGTCGAAGTCATATGTATGATGTCTTTGTCTACTAATGATCTTCATCCTTACTAGTGATCAGACCATGAAAGACAATTTACTGCCAGTCTTTGTCAGCTCTTACAGCTGGAGGCAGAGCATGGCCAAGGCTGGGCTTTGTGGTGGGTGCCATGGGGTGAGCCTGCAGGTATGTGGCAGGTGGAAGATCAGATGATCACATTAGCATGTCCCCAGCTGCACACATGTCTGCAGGGACTCACTGTCATGCTGGAGCTGATTTAGGGTAGCAGGTGTTATAATCTCCCCAGGGGAACCCCAGGCACAGCTGCTGGGCAAGCACTTCTGGGGAAACCCTCAAAATCATTAACTATGATGACTTGTGTGAATGGCAGAAAAATTTGCTATTTAATTAGAGGTAAATGCTCATTCTAAGTGCTCACTCTCCCATGTTTTTCCTCCCTTCCTAGGCCGTTCCCCACAGAAGAAAGTGTAAACGATGAAGACATCTACAAAGGCCTTCCAGACTTAATAGAGTATGTGGAATATTTTCAATACAATGAAGCCACTGTACATATTTGTACTCAGCATAGATGTGAACTATAACAAGCTCTCTGCAGAGTGAAAGTGAGACACAATAAGAATTATCTGTCCTTAAAGTGATGATGGAAAGTTTTACAAGAAATAGACCTCAGCTGGCTTTTAGTTCTTGTTCTGTGTTCCCGTGAAGAGAAACTTACTGCAGAGCAGTAAAACTTGAAGTTTCTCAAAGGCATAATACAGATGCAGATAAAACTGGAATTACACAATTAGGGAATAATAAAAAAGAAATAAAGTTTACTACTGGAGTTGTAGGACAGAAAGTGTGTGCATTTTAAGCATCAGGAAGGACGGATGCAGCTGATGTTATTCCTGTAAATGTCGGTAGATGGCACTTATCCCAAGCAGAGGATGCTCTGGGGTTTATTATTTAATAGTCAGGAGAGGCAGAAGGTCTTGCAGCTGATTATCTTCTGCTGATTGAGTGGCTTGTGCAGATTACGGATAGATATAAAGCATGATCCTCTCTCCTCAAAGACCTTATGATATAGATCAGGCGTGTTTGCACAGAATTATAAGAGATGGATTACACTCCAAGGGCAATTCCTGGAATCTGTGAGAATCCACAGTCCAGCACCGACTGTTTTATCTGCTCATATTACTGGCCCCTCACCAGTCTTTCTTAGGCATCCCTTCACAGAGAGACCTTTCCTGGGGAAAATAGCCACCACACCCTTACCTTATACTATGTTTTTAGAGTCTTTATTTCTGGCTAGGACAATGATGGCTCCCTACACTTACTGCCTGTGTCTCCATTCCGAGGCAGTGATGCAAGAACTTTGTGCATGTCTGCATTCTTAGAACTTTAAACTGTGATGAGCTGGAGAGATGGCTCCATGATTCATGCAGCTGGGCAAGCCAAAAGATCTGAGTTTGGATTCCCAGAACCCCTTTGAGGCAGTGGTTAGGCATAGCAGCTTGCCTGTAATTCTAACCTTAGAAAGGAGAGACAGAAGGTTCCTCTAGAGCAAGCTGGATAATGAGACTAGCCAGATGGCTCAGCTCTGGAGTTGATTGAGAGGCTCTGCCTCAATGAATAAGGTGGAGGAACAATCAAAGGCGATTCCAGACATCAACGTCAGGCCTATACATATGCTTGCACATACTCAGCTGTTCACATATACCACATACCTACACCTTCACACATGCAAACATACGTATGGATATGCAACTATATCCCATACACCTATACATAAGAAAGGAGAAGAATGAAAAGCGACTAGTCTATGTCTGGTGTATGCATACAAATAAGACAAAAGAATATTAGACATCTACTGTTTGCTAGACATTATGTGTTAGGGTTGAGCTATCTAATCGTTCACTAGTGAGAGTGTGCTGTGTGCTCATTTGTGTGCTAACACGTTCTGTGCATCATTTCATGTAACTACTGTGTTAAGTTCCCACTGTTATAATCTGTACGAAAAAGAAAAACAAATTTGTACACAAAGCTAACTTGTTAGAGATGATGTCACGCAGAGTAGTCTTTGAACCTAGATGTTTCAGACCCTGGAGTGGCAGGCTCTTACTCACTGTCCTGGGACCAGATGTGTGGGACTTAGTGCTCTGGGAGCTACCAGCCATAATAATGGGCAGCCAGCAGCTTTTTCTATTTTATGTGGCATTTGAAGTAGCTTTGAAGTCATATATTTTAAATGTCCTTTGAGGATAATTTCTTACTGCTTCTAAACTTCCAAGAACTCACAGCCGTTAAGTAAGATGGATGCTGATTATTTGATTAATTTAGAGAAATGCTCTTTAATAAAATAACTAGAAGGCTACTGGTCTTGTAGTCAGATTCCCAGGAAGAACATAATCTGCATAGAGCTGTGATAATGTCCCTTTCAAAGCCCCACGTGGTCGCTAACCCCCGCTGATGGTCACTAATACCCATTACTTTTTTATATAGCCTTTGCCCACCTTGTTTTGCTTAGAGATTCTGTTAGGTGAGATTTAGTTTGAGGGAATGTTACGTGTCAGGTAGGAGGAGGCCTTCAGTTCAAAGTGTCAGGGGATGGATGTCACAGTCCACTTGGCTTCTAGTCAGAGCCCAGAAACAGCCTCTACCTAGGTTTGATTATTTTAGTTAGTTCCATCCTGATCTCAGCTGACTTTCCTGCTCTTTGATGGGTTACACGAAATGCCCAGACACAGGACCACCAGGACTGCATAGAGAGACACCATTCTCAATCCTCTCCCAAGTCAGAATGAAACAAAGTGCTCAGACCAACCTAACTGTCCCACCGTGTCCTATCCAGAGTCCACCAAATGCCCTGCTACGGAGATCCTGGAGCAGCCAATATGGCTTTACTCATCAATGTTCAAGTCAATGTTGAAAAGCATTTTTCATTCTCTCTCCTCTCTCCCTAATTCCAGAGGGTCTCAGTATCTGATGTCACGGTCCTGACTTTTCCTGGATCCCTCCTCAGCAGCCTTTACTCTAGTTACTGCTCCCAGCCTCACAGTGTTTGGCCTCTTGGGCTCTGGTTCCCCCTGGCTGTGGTCTTCCCACCTTCTCTCCACTGTAAAGTCCCTGTTGGCTCTTAGATACCCCAGCTAAGGTTGATTCACCAAGTGCAGTGCTCTTTACAGTTTTGTTTCAGCTCTGCCCTCTGGTGGTCCAGCATGAAGCCCTGAGGGATTGTTAAGCACTGCATCCCCAGGCTCTTGGGGTGCCAACCTTCCTGTTAGGTTAGTGTCCTTTCAGAAACTCTGTCTCTTTCCTCATTTTTTGTGGGTGTGTGTTGTGCTGGTTGGCCCTGAAGTTCCATTAGGATAGGAAAACTGTATTTTTTACAGCACAAGTTTGCTGACCAAGCCTACATATTCCTAGTTCAGCTCAGCCATGACACCTCTTTGAAGCCTTCCCTCACTTTCTTTAGTTATTTTCACTCTTCTCTGTTTCTTTTGCTCATCCATTTACCTTGTTACATAAATAGAGTTATGTGTTTATGGACTGTTCTCCATACAAGCCAAATTATGTGTATTTGTGTGTTGTGTAGGATGTGTATGCATGATGTGTATGTGCTTTCATGTGTGCATGTGATGCCTGGGTCCCGTGTGTGTGTTTGGAGGGGAGACAGCAACCTTGCCTCTTAACATTATTTGAGACTACACACAATAGTGTAGCTAGCTGACACACAGACATCCAGGGATTCTCTTGTCTCTGGGAACAATCTTACTGTAGAACCGCAGGATTACAGATGTGCTAACATGCTAAGCTTTATGCAGGCTCTGGGGATTCAAACTCAGATTGTCACTTTAGATGACTTTACACGTTGGTCCAGATCTTCAATGGGAGAGTTTTTGATCTGTATGTCTTATATCTTATAAAGCGTGGAATTCAGTCAGTTCTTTATAAATACCTGCTGGATGGATGAGCAGATGGGTAGGTGGGTGGACAAGTATTTCCGAAGTAAATTTTTCTCCGAGCACAGTTCTCTCAAGCTTCAGTTCCCTCCTTTAGCTTCAGAACCTTCCTTTTCTCTGGGTTTTGACAGTTCACTTCTGTCAGATGCCTCCAAATAATCTTTCATGACAAACACAAACAGCCTGTGATTGTACCAGCTCTGAAAAATGTTCCAAGTAGTAGAGTGACACAGTCACAGTGGACTTACTTTTGTTCGTATCAATTTATAACATTCACCTGGCACAGGCTGAGGAGGTGCCCAGGGTTGGCCATACTAAAGGGCGGAATTTCTTTCTCAGAGAGCTTACTGTTACATTGCAACATCCCTGGATTGATTAAGACCATTCTTTGGGTTGTGTTAGTAGGAGGGGAGACTGAGGGAAGTGTGGCAGACATAAAATGGATGGAATGCCATGATTGACTGTGATGATGGTTTCACAGGAGGGGCTTGGAGACAGTGCCCTGGTCTGCCATGGATCCAAGAGCTCACGGGGGACTGGAAAGAACAAATATTTTCAAGAAACCGCTATGTAGTATTTAATGACTTTAAAATGTATTTTAAATATTTATATATCTGTCCCCTCCTTTAAAAATAAAATACAAACTGTTAACACAGATAAAGGCAGTCTGGTTATAGAAAGATGTACATGTATCTTCTAAATGGGCTTCTAGAAGCATGGTCTGAAAAGAACTGAATTAGTTATAATAATGTTACAGCAGCTGATGCTGTTATCAAATATTTTGCTACGTCAACTATTCCTTAACTGTGGTCTCCCCACACTATGCCCTTAACAACATAATGAAACTGAACCCATAGAATACTGCAACTGGGAGGCAGAGCAATGAGGCTGTCAACATATCAGTGTAAAACAAACTTATTTTATAGATCGAGGCTCTGCTGTAGACTACGCTCTGCCTTTGACAAGTCTAGTAACTTTCTCATCTTCCAAATTTGTCACAGATCAAATACTAAACCATATCCATATGACAACTGGTACTCAGAAAATCAGAGCTGTGACTAGCTGCAAGGTAATCATTAATATAGCTCGATGAAAGTAAATAGCCAGTTAGGTATTCATTAGCATTTTCCCCGTTGCTGGATCTGCTGTTTGTCATTGGGATAATGTGAAGGGACAGAGTTGTAATGGGAACCTCTGGACAGTCGCTACTAATTCGTTTCCTTCTTCTCTGAGTTTTTTGCTCAAGTCAGTGGGAAGATTTCAGTCTGTTGTGAACTGAATCCTGTAGGCCACGTCTCCGTGTAGCATCCGCTGTGTGATAGAGTACAGCCTTTATACTGCTTTCCTCGTTTCAGTGAAACCCGTGTGGAGGATGAAGAAGACCTCTATGACTGTGTGTACGGGGAGGATGAAGGCGGAGAAGTCTATGAAGACTTGATGAAGGCAGAGGAAGCCCAGCAACCTGTAGGGCGTTTACTTGTTTTATGAAGTAACTCTAAGTAGTTTATTAGGAAGGCAATTCGTTAGAAGACTAATTAATATACTTACTAACTTCTGATGGAATACTTAATAAAAAGTCCCTGTTGCTTATAACATATAATTTATCTGTAGAGTCAAGCATGTATTCATGTTTGCTTGTTTGTTTTCCAGTTTTGTAGGACTTTGTGGTCTAATCCTTTCCTTCATTAGTGAGGAGACTGAATCTTAGAGGCCAGTGCTGAGTAATGGCAGAATGGCAATAGGATACAAGCCAGGAAATCATGAGATTGCAATTATAATTATAATTGTCAAAACACATCTTTTCCAAAACATACCTATTTTCCATTTGAAATATAATGTGAGTGGCTGTTCCTTTTTACTCGTTAGCTCTTGGTATAAGTGACTCTCCCCTTCTCTTTATTTGTTATTTTTCTCTCGTATGTTACATCCCTGACTGCCGTTTCCCCTCCCGCCCGACTTTCCTTCTCACCCAGACCCACTGCTCCTCTGTTTCCATTCAGAAAAGAGCAGATCTCCCAGGGATATCAACTGAATATGGCATAGCCACATACACTAATGCTAGGCACTGTCATATCAAGGCTGGACAAGCCAATGTCTTTTGTTTTTTTTTTTTTACTTCTTCAAATGCTAGCATAACTAGTATGTTCTTAAAGCTCCTGTGCCAAGCATCTATCTAGAACATCCAGAAAGAACTGCTTTAAACTGTTTTCTTATGTGTAACTTGAAATTTTAAAATGTCACTTAGGACACAGCATACTCTCTTGTCCTAGAGACTTCTCCATGAGCTGGGTAGTCATGAGTCTCAGCTTTCTGTGCTCTGGCTTTTAATAGTAAAGGGCTGAGGAGGTTACTTGGTGTGTATTTAGGAAAGATAATCCCTGTGGGCTTAACTGGATGTCTGAGAGGTAGGCTACCCTGACAACAGCATCCGAGGTGCTTCCAGGTGCATCTCTCTTGTGCAGTGCTGTAGTAATCACTGGCTTTGGTGGAGCAGATCTTCAGGTCTCCTCCCACCTGAGGACTCTTCCCCACTTCACGGCTCTAGGTGGTTGCTGTGGGCTATAATTAAGAATAATAGTAATGTAGATTCCTTGTCAAGATGTAGAGTACTCTGTTACATGGCTTCGGTCAGTTGGCACTCCTTACTTAGGCTTAGTGCTGTAATTCCATTTTACAGAAGTGAAGACCAAGTCACAGAGAAACTTAGTAACTTATTTATAGTTATAAAGCCAATAACAAAAATCACTGTTGGAACTGAATTCTGTTTTGTCTGTGATTCTCTGACCTTAACATTATGCTGTATTTTAACACTCAATGAAAGAACCAAATATTGTGTAAAAACAATATTTGATGGATTTGTGTGTGTGTGTGTGTGTGTGTATGTGTGTGTGTGTGTGTTAGTTATTGATGATTGATATGTTAGGTCTGTATCCTACCACTGAGCTGTTACTATTTTATAGTCATTCTACAGTTCATGTGAAATCTGCCCTCTATGAATGCTTAGACTATCTGTTACCACATTCACTAACATTTGAATAAAAGAAGTGCATTGATTTAAGCAGAATATCTATTTCAGAAGCTTATTTAAATCATTTAAAACCTTTTCATTTACAGTGTTAACGCTCCAACAAAATATGTCACAAATGCAGCTAAGTGTGCCTTTTAGTTGTTTTGTTAGGATGGAAAGTGTAAGGGAATCAGATTTTGATCTTTTCCTAGATAAATTGTTATGTGAACTCAACTAAATAGTTTTTATTTTACTTTTCTGTCTGCAGAAATCACAAGAAAATGATATACGGAGTTGTTGCCTAGCAGAAATTAGGCAGACAGAAGAAAAATACACAGAAACTTTGGAGTCAATAGAAAAAGTAAGTCATCAGGTCTCAAAGCTCAGGGTTGCCTTGCATAATCTATGTGCTAGACCAACTCCTTTTACAGTGGGTGTCTGCTAATGTATGTTCTAAGATTTGCACAGAATGACAGGCTCATAAAGTACCACATGGACTCACTTACAGGTAAAGTCTAAAAACAATGAAGTCATACAAGTAGCAGGTAGAATTTGGGATTAGTATGACCTTGGGTGGCAGGGATAGGAATACTAGTTAAAGCATATATGCTTATATTAGAAAGGAAGAGTATTTAAACATTTATACCCAGAATAGGCAAATGAATAGACAGACTATACACAGAAAAGCAATTGCCAGGGATTTAGGGAAGAGAGGTCTGTTTATGGAGGGTAGATTGGCTGGGAGGAGAAAGAGCGAATGCCCACTAATGTCTGCGGACTGTTTAATGAGATAGTCTTAAAATTGATTGTGATGGTTACATAGCTCTGAACGTCTAAGAACCATTGGATTGCAAACTAAATAGTTGAGTTGTGAGAAACATGAATTATGTCTCAGTAAAAGCCTCCAAAGAAAAATAAAGATATCAAAGCAGATTTACACATTATCCTACTATTTATTGCCATCCTGACATTAAAATGACACTGTTTTAAGAACTGATGTTATAGCAGCAAAGACAGGAAGACTCTAGGTTCTTCTGACATTTTCTACATTATAGCCAAATTTAGGATGAAAGCAAATATGTATACCAGTTTTGTGCGGAATTACCTGAAGAAAAGTCAGAATGAGAGGATGATGGGCATGGGTTCGAGGTACCATATAAAGGCTGACAGCAGAGGAACTCTATGTAAGAGCATGGTTCATCAGCTGAGAAAGTTGAGGACACACAGCATGTATATGGTCTTGTGATGAGAGTTCTAGGAGAAAGGCTCTCTAATGGGGGAATCGTCAACTTAGGCTTCGTGGAACAGCAGTGGTCCAGTGTGGTGGATAGAATGTATGGAGACTGAGAAAGAGGTCAGAGAACTGGTGGGCTACCAGGTCATATAGGGACAAAACTTAGAGCTTTGAGCAGACTTGAAGTAAAGGAATTTGGGCTTTTAACACTGCACTCTGGCTCTTCTGAAGCAAGCATGGGTCAAATTAGACCCAACAGAGTTTGATGACGTAGGCAAAGGATCCTAGAATTTGGCCTGTGAGAATGTATGGATGGTGAAGCTAGCTGCAAGACCAAGGGCAGGGAGTCATGAATCTGTCGGGCATGTTAAACGTTTGCTCCCTTCCATTGGATGCAGCAGATATTAATGATGGAAGTCTTTCATTGATAGGGAAGTAGGATTTGTATACGGATGGAGCCCTTAGGTGGTAGTACTAGATCAGGTCACTGTGGGAAAGGTATGCTTTTAGGTAGTGGGTTTGAGGCCACCTCTGTGGCTCCCACATTTAGAGGTTAGAAAAAGAGAACCAGGTAAAAGTTTGTTTTATCGATAGGAAAAGAGGAGACATGGAAGGGTTGCTTAGGACAGTGAAATAGTCAGCTGATTAGGAAACAGTGTGGACATGTGGCGTTATGGATCCCATTGTACCTTGTGGTCTTATTAAATGATCACTATAGTCTATGGACCTATGAAATATATGGCAAGCTAGATATAGTCAAAGGGAGAGAGAGATGAGAGAGAGAGAGAGTGGGGGGGGGAGAGAGAGAGATTTTGGGCAGTGTTTCATGGGCTGTAAACTGGGTAGGGAGAGGAGAGAGTCCATGAAGGGTGTGAGAGTCAGTAACCTGGACACAGTAAGGTTAGGGAATTTCTTGAAAAAATGAACTTCATGGGCTAGATGTAGGGTTCAGAGAGATGGTTGCTTGAGACTAATCTGAGAAGCATGCACAGCTATTGATAATGACAATGCCCTGAGAGAAATCATGAGATTTGAGAGTTGAGCTCACAATTCTTGGAAATAAAGGCACCGACAGGCCAAGTTCCTGGATGGGTCATCTATACAGATACTGAGATTGCTCACAATGAAAGGGAGGTACAGGCTTGGTGCTAAAGTCTTAAGTAATGAATGGAAATGGTGTGAAAAGTATGTGAGTAGATTATGTACCTCAAGCATCTGTGTTGGAGAATTGGAGGGATGTTCTACAGGAGACCTCAAATACATCTTCAGAATGTTACCATTGTTTACCCCTTTGGTCAACAGCATCCTTTCTAACATTTAAAAGCAGTCCTTTCTAACATTTAAAAGCAGTCCTTTCTAACATTTTGTTTTATAATTTAAATGTTCTATCTTATATTTATGTATACGTGTGTATAGTATGCATGGACATATGTGTGTGTTCACCTATAAGTGCACATCTGTATACATGTGAGTAGAGGCTTGAAGTGACATTAGGTGTCTTTTATATTATTTTCTACTTCCTTTATTGAGGCAGAGTGTCTCACTGAAGCCTAAGATCACTGATTGCATGTAGTCTGTCTGTCTACTTGATCCAAGAATCCAAGACTCTGCTTTCCAAGAGCTGTGATTGGGGGTGGCTGTTACACTTGCCCAGCTTTTTCCTGGGTTCTGGGGATCTGAATGCAAATATTCATGCTTGTGTGGCAAGTGCTTTGTCCATCTCTTCAGCCTCTATTTATGTCTTCATAGCTGTCCAATGGAAAGTTTTTAGTATAGAGAAAATAATATTTACTATTTGTGTTTGTAATGCTAATAAATAACTTTTAATGAAAATGCTTGTTGATAAAATCGTTATATAGATTAGGCAAAGTTATGTTTAATTGAAGTGAATTTTCTATTTTTTCCTGTTAGTATTTCATGGCACCATTGAAAAGATTTCTGACAGCGACAGAATTTGATTCCGTATTTATCAACATTCCTGTAAGTAAAGTTGGGACAGGTCAAGTGTGTTTTTAGTGGGCTCTTGATCCATACTTTACCACTGCCTTTGGGTTTTCTATGATTTTTTTTCTTTGCTTCCAGAGTTATCATATCCTTGCTCTTTTAAAAAACTGACATATCTTTAACTTAAGGTCAGTTAAGAATACGTGTTGTGCCGGGCGGTGGTGGCGCACGCCTTTAATCCCAGCACTTGGGAGGCAGAGGGAGGTGGATTTCTGAGTTCGAGGCCAGCCTGGTCTACAGAGTGAGTTCCAGGACAGCCAGGGCTACAGAGAGAAACCTTGTCTTGAAAAAACAAAACAAACCAAACAAACAAACAAACAAAAAAGAAAACGTGTTGTGCAGAAATGGGTATCTAAGATTTATGTATTAGCTTTGCCTGGTTATACAGCGGTGCTCTCAGTTAAGTGGTTGTGATGTGATTGCCTGGCAGGTTCACTCTTCCCTTGTGTATCCCCTGGAATGTCATTTAACTCCCTCAGTTCCTCTGTCATGGCCTCTGTCCATAGGCAGTCAGATCAACAGCTTCTGGTTGTACCAACCTCAACTTACATTTTGGATTTACAATTTCATCTCCTCCTCCTCTTCTTCTTTCTCCTCCTCTTACTCCTCCTCTCCTCCTCCTCCCCCTCCCCCTCTTCCTCTTCTGTCTTATTGTTTTATAACTGAAAGAAAATGTTCACAATAGCAACTGGAGATATAACACTAAAAACCCAAACCTGCACATTTTAGGAAGTAGGAACCCGAAACCGCATAGTATGCTCATTCGCCTTATTTGATAGCCCCTACTTTGTATGGCTTCTATTCAGCAAAATACTAGAGATGACATATTCATCTTCAAGTTTTAGCCTACAAGGAACAAGCTTCCTGTTCTGTTTCTGTGTGCTCCAAGGGATATAGGAAGAGATAATAGAGAATTGGTACCTTGATGCGAATTTCCTCATTGCCCCTCTGTGACACACACTCCCTGGCTGCTGAAAATAACTTGCTTGTTAGAATAAAAAAATGAAATTCAGACATTTGAGTTGACCATAAACCATCTAGCACAATTTGTGTGCTACGTACGTGTGTCATTAGTGGTCTGGTTTTAAGTAATTTGGTCTGACAGTTGTTAGCTTAGCACTAGGATGCTGCTAATTGACCCAAGTGTCCAGATCTGCATCTTGGTGTCCCAAGGACACAACTCATTACTTTAGTCCATCAATAAAACAATAAGTACTTGATTAGTTTTATTTACAAAATTTGCAGTGATTATAAGATTAAACAGCATTATTGTATTGTTTTATTCAGAGAATAAATTGACCTATAATAGCAAGGATAATTTTTGTTTTCACTGGGCACAGTTATTTCTAGTCCTATCTGAAATTGCTATTTCCCTTGCCCCCATCTTTCTCCTTCCTCTACTGCTTACTCCTCTTCTGCTTTCTCCTTTCCTTTCTTCCTATCTCCTATCTTTCTCCTCTCAGAGTGACAAGTCTGGCCACAGTGGGAGCTATGTTTGTGGGGTGTGCTTTTTGCTTTTGCTTCCTACTTTTATTTTCTTCCGTTAATTTATTTATTCACTTGTGTCCCAATCACTACCCTCCCATCCTCATTTCCTCATCACACAGTCCTTTTCACCATGCTCCTCTCCCCTTCTCTTCTGAGAGGGTGGAGGACCTCCCTAGGTATCCCACCACCCTGGCACACAAAGTCTCTGTAGGGTTAGGTGCATCCTTTCCCAGCCCAGTGAGAGGAACAGGATCCACAGATAGGCAACAGCTTTAGAGACAGCTCTTGCTCCCAACAGTTGTTGGGAGACACATGAACACCAAGCTGCACACTTGCTACATATGTGCGGGAGCCTAGGTCTAGGCCGTGTATGCTCTTTGATTGGTGGTTCAGTCTCTAAGAGGCTCAGGGGTCCAGGTTAGTTGACTCTGGCCATTCGCACAGTCTGTGTTCCATCTTTGTCCCTGCTTTTCTTTCATAATGTTTTCTTTTCTAGGATCTTGTAAAAGTTCATCGGAGCTTAATGCAAGAGATTCACGATTCCATTGTAAATAAAGATGACCAGAACTTGTATCAAGTTTTTATTAACTACAAGGAAAGGTAATTTTTACATTTAAACATATGTGGGTATTGATTTGGAATTAGAATGAATGTTAGTATTAAAAATAGAAATGTATATTTCTTTTGTTTATTAAAATAATTCCAGACAGAAATTTGAAGATAGCACATTTCATCTCAGGAAAGTAATTTGAGCTTTATATGTTAGCAGTAGCAGTAGCAATAGGCTGGGGCGATGTCCAGGAGATCAGAGTGCTGGCTGCTCTTGTAGAAGTTCATTTTCCAGCACCCACATGTCATCTTACAACTACCTTTACCTCTAGTTGCAGGTGATCTAATGTCCTCTATGGCTTCTAGGGACCTAATATATATGTGGTGCACATACATACATGTAAACAAATACTTATACATGCAAAATTAAAGTTTTAGATGCATACTAAATATAGCACTTAGATTTTTGCATGGCAGAGCTCCAGACCAATATGAGACACATACACAAACACACCCAAATGCACACATACAAACACAGACACAGATAGACACAAATGCACACATACACACAAATAGAGGGACAAACACACATAACACAAGCACAATGTAAGTGCACATGTACACGCACACATATAGATACACACAAGCTCACCACAAATGCACATATACATGTACATGTACAAATATATATATATATATATATACACACAAATACATAGATACACACATATACACACATAGATGCGCACAAAAGCATAAAAACAAACACAACTACACACACACATGCACAGAGAGGCAGACAGACAGACAGACCAATAGACAGAGAGATCAATCTATCTTTCCTCTAACAAGGAATTTCTTTTTTTTTTCCTGTTTTTTTGGAATCTATTTTTTTTAGCGTGAAATATACTGCTCTCTCATTTTAAATCAAACATAATTCCTAGCACTAAGAAGTGGTAAATGAATTGCTTTGTGTCAACTCTTAGATAAATATTAACAGTTTATTAGAACTTTGAGCCAGTGGAGAGATAAAAGGAACAAAGCTAATAGTCTCTTTGCAAAATATCTGTAATGTAGAGGTTGCCTTGGTGAGCGGGCCCCGACTCAGTGCAGTGTGAGTTATCTTCCATCCTAGGGGCTCGGGCCTCTCTTCCCACTTCTTAGATGATGTATGTTCCTTAATTAAATGCAGAAAGGAGTAGAAGGTTTATTAATGAGTGGAGTCCTAGTGATTGTAATAAAATTGTAGTAGGAAATATAACTGTCTTGAGGATTAGTAAACAGTAAAAAGTTTATCTCCAATAAAAGCTTAAAGAATTTTTTAATTTAAAAAATTGATATATATATTCAAATAACATTAACAGTCATTAAGCCCTATTGTAAAATCTGTCTTCCATAAAACATACATGGGATCAATCTTATGCCTATTTGCAACCAAAATAGTCTTTTTGCTGTTGTCAATGTGAGTGGCCCTCATTCTGCATGTAGTGTGTGTTAGGAAGAGTCTTGGGGCTGGAGAGAATGCTCCAGCATGGAGAACACGTGATGCCTTTGCAGAGGACCCAGGTACATTTCTCAGCAACCCACATTACAGCAGCCAGCAAGTTCAGTTCCTGGGACCCCAGCACCTATGTAGATGTGTACACATACAAATACACACACACACACACACACACACATTAAATAAATACGCACATTAAAGAAATCTTAAAAACCCTACTAGTGCTTTAGTAGCCCTGACTATGGATTTAAAGAACTGGGCATTCCCTCTTTCTCCCTCTACTTGGTTCTTTCAGCCTCACAGAGTTCTCGTCTTCCTTTCAGATTGGTTATTTATGGCCAGTACTGCAGTGGAGTGGAGTCAGCCATCTCTAACCTAGACTACATCTCTAAGACAAAAGAAGATGTCAAACTGAAATTAGAGGTGCCTGTTCATTTTTATTATTGTTTTTAATGCCTAAAGATTACCTCAAGAATGTAATCAGGAATGTGCAACAGCACATTTCCTCATGTGTGCCAAATATTATTCATTCCAGTTTTTAAAAAATAATTCAAAAGATAGCCATGTTAGTAAAAGCTATGGTGGTAATTTTTGCAGAAGCAGACCTAACTCTGTGGCAGTGGTTTTATACACATTATCTCCTTAGGTCCTCTTTACTGTGGTTTGTATTCCAGTAACTCTTTTATTCTGTAATTGAAAAGACTAGGCTCAGGGATATCATGGGTAACTTACCTTGGGTCACCTAGGTAGTGAGAGGTACAGAGTAGATAGGCTTCTCTGTCTCTTTTTCTCTCTTTATCTCTCATTTTTTTCTCTCTCTCTCTTTTTCTCTGTCTCTATCTCTCTCACCCTCTTTGTGTATGTGTGTGTGTGTGTGTGTGTGTCTCAAGTGTTTGCACAGCATCAGACATTTGCACATGTATACAATGTATAGGTATTGCTCATAAGAAAGAAGAGCAGACAGACAGATACAACTGTAGAAACAGCTCAAAGTGCTATGTGAGTATAAGAAGGCTCTCTGAGTAAGTTGGAGCAATCCTGTCACTGGATAAGATGAGAAGATACAGTACGACTGGAGGTTTATGATGAATCATGTTTTGGGAGGTGAGAATGTTGATACACATCTACAATTCTAGCACTTACAGGGCTTGGGCAGGAGGACTGCAAGTTTGCAGTCAGCTTGGTCCACACTCAGACACAGATACAGCCAGACATACCCAGATACCCTCAACATCTATCTATAGATGGATATGTGTATATATATGTATCTCAAGACCCTGTCTCAACCCGTTCTCTCCCCCAAAGTCATAATTTATGTGTATTAATTATAATCCATAAGCATTTAAATATTTAAAGAACTGAAAAATGCTGAGTATATAAATGAATGACTATCTTAGGGATATTTTTGTTTTGTTGCCTCTTCGATATCTCCTTTCTCCTTTTCTTTGTTCAGTTTATCCTTGAAGTCAGAAAAGAGGAGAAAGCCTTCCAAGTGAATAGCTCTTCCTTGTTTTGGTACAGAGGGCATGATTTCATCACTTCTATCTCCCACAGAGACACATTATTGCTTAGGAGGCTTGCACGATAGCAGGGCACTGAGTATTTTATAGTGTCCCTCGATGATGGTGACCTTTTATCTAGAGACAGTTTAGTCACCACTAAATGATGTCCTTAAAGTATCATTAGCACCAAGGGTTAATGCTTCTCGTAAGTGTAGAGGTCTAGGCTACCTTGACTCAAATTAGATATGATGATAAAATAAAACTTTACAGTTCATGTTATTAGTTCAGAGCAGAACAGTAGTTAAAGCAGCTTTTTTTTTCTCTCCTTAAATGAAAGTATAAAACTGGTTTGAGGGAGGAACCCAGCAGGTTGTCTGTCAGACCTCTATGGTTTTCAGACCTGTTGAATGGCCGCTCTTCTCTCAGAATCAATGTCAGAGCTCTTGCAGAGGACATGCATACCAGGACTGTACAGTCTGTCCATTTTCTGCCAGACTTGGGAGAGGAGAGACGTCAGGCTGAGTTGAAAAGGCTGCAGGTGAGAGGCTGTAACTCAGCATGCTGCCTCTCGCTCACTCAGATGTCCCACTTCTGAACAGGGCCTGACTTAGGAGAATTTAATGAGAAAGTGTAACATGGGCACCCTGCAGGATGTTAGGAAAGCTGTCTTACTCTCAACGCCTGTCCTTTCCATTTTCTTTCTTTGGTGCTTATTTTTGCTTTTCTTTTTTCTGGTTGATGTTATTTTTCTTATGTGTGAGTCTATGTATATAGTCTTTTCTGCTTTGGAATCAAGATAACATAGGGCACTGGGTAAGAGACTATCTTTTCTGGTGAGTCTGAGTTTAAACTCAGTGATAGTCCCTTTTGATTAGGATTGAGTTTAGGCCAAGTGCTTGGTGGATTATTTCAGAAGAATTATTTAGGTCCCTTGTTTACTTTCAATGATAAAATTTTACAGAGTCCCCAGCTGCAGTACAGATGATGATAATAACATTTTTTACCCCCTGAACTTCAACAAACAGATTTTCCCAGCAATAACTGTAAATGAGCTGGGATGGCCTACATTCCAGTTCAAGAACTCTGTGGCGCTAAGGAGATTAAAATGCAACGGGGAGAAAAGACCCAGGAATTATAGTGATAATTTAACCTCCTAGTTGACACTCATGATCTGGAATGCTCTATAATTTTTGGATGCAGGAAATCAGTTGAACTCACAGGATGTGGAGATAGTAGTCATTACAGAGCTTTTTATGCAAGAATGCAGACCTCAGTTCAATCTCCAGAACTGACATTAAAAAAAGTTGGATGTGATACATGATTACTGTCATACCTCTAAGGTGAAGGGAAAGTGGGAAGATCCCGTCTATACCCAGGGTTTGTTGCCCAGTAGATATAGCCTACTGGCTCAGTGCCAGACCAGTGAGAGACCCCCAAAACAAGATGAATGTTCCAGAGAAACAACACCTGCAATTGTCTTCTGGCCTCCATGCACATGTTCATCCATACACACATAGGAGCTCTATTGAAACAGTTATCTCCCAATGAACTGGAGTAATTAAGACACTCATAACTCATCAGAATGTTTTTTCCTAGCTCATTTTCCTCTAGATCTGTAGTCAAACATACTAATGATATCATCATGGTCATTAGAATTACTGGCATTAATGTCATAGCTCCTGATAATGCCTTTGAGTGTGTTAGAAAAGCCAAGAATGGGCAAAGGAACAAATTCATGGCCCAGATATTATCTTAAGTAACTCTATTTACCGAAAAAGTCTTTGTTCTGACACATACAATTGCTTAAGTATATTGAACTCTAGGTTTCTCTCTAGCAATGTTCTTTGACATTTTGGCATCTTTTGTAATAACACTGTATGTTTCAGTCAGGGTTCTCTAGAGGAACAGAATTGATAGAATGAATCTATACCACACTCCTGGTACTAAAATCTTTATTAGTCAGTATTCTCTAGAACCTACCTAGAAACCTGTATAGAAAGGGGATTATTAAAGAGGCTTACAGATGGCAGTCCAGGTAGTCCAACAGTAGCTGCCCACCAATGGACAGTCCAAGAATCCAGTAGTTGTTTTATCTGTGGAGATAGATGTCTCAGTTGGTCTTCACTATATGCTCAAATCCCAAAGTAGGCTCTAATTCCAGTGAAGGAATGGAAACGTTAGTAAGACAGGACAATCAGGCAAAGAGAAAAAGCTTCCTTCTTCCATATCCTTTACATAAGCTTCCACCACAAGGGGTAATCTAGATTAAAGATGGGCCTTACCACCTCAAAGGATCAGGACTAAAGGTGAGTCTTCCACTTCAAATAACTTAATAAAAGAAAAGTCTTTCAGAGGTATACCTAGCTAACAGTGACTTGCTTAAGTCACACAGCCAAGGATTCATATTTTAATACTTCAAATTTAAATTATTTTCCCCAGGGTCACAGCTACAATCAAAAGTGAAAAAGTCAATATTATTTTAAAGTGCATTTTTGTTTGTTTGTTTATTTGTGACAAAGTTTACTGAGTAGCCTCAAACTTATGTCAATCCTCCTGTCTTAGGCTCTTTGGTGCTAGAATTATAGACATGTACTACCATACTCAGCTTAAAGTATTTTTTAAAAAGAGGATTAAGTATATAAAATAAGAATTGTGGTAGCATGTTTATATTTTAACATATTCAGCCAAACATTCCATTTGATTTAGTTAGAATAAGTATTTATATACAAACAGAGGGTTGTCTCTTTTAAAAGAAGGTTAAAGGACATGTCTTTATTCCAAAAGGTTATAGTCGGACAGATATTCTTTTCAATGATAATTAAGTGGCCATAAGGTAAACTTATACACAGACGAAAAGAGACAAGAAATGAGGGAAGAAAAAAGAGATAAAGAAAATGATGTTGACTGGAATTCTTCCTCAACTCCAGTAGAATGCTTTGGAAAGGCTGTGGTGGCTTTTTCTGGAGACTGGAAAGAGTGTTTGAATAGAATTGATGTGGCTACGGCCTGAAGCTGGATGAGCTCATAGGACTTTAATGAGTCAGGGCCTGAGCTATCTGATTCACAAGCCTGGGGAAATGAGAGAGGAGAACTCTACAGGAAAACTTGGGAGAGATTGGATTATGTGCTATAAAGATAATTTTCAGTCATAATTCTACTTGATTCGTCTTATGACTTGAAATACTATAAGTCATGCTTTAAAAAGAAAAACCTGAAGTTATTTTATTGTTTGAATAGAAGTATTGCTATGGAAAAGAGCAAAAATACTTGTAAGGATTCTACTTTTGGGGCTTTGGATTTTGTAGTGTTTTCTGACTTCCTTTGAGTAAACTAACGAAAAGTTTGAAATCCATTGCCTTAGGAATGTTCAAAAAGAGCCAATAATGGGAAATTTACTCTGCGTGATTTGCTGGTAGTTCCTATGCAGCGTGTGCTGAAGTATCACCTCCTCCTTCAGGTCTGTACGTTAACAACACACTCTACTGTGTTAACTCCACTGTGCATCTGTTCATCCCACAGAACACTGGTGGCCAGCAGCCTCTTGCAGGGTCTCTGCATTACTGTAAAGTGTCAAATGGTCAGGACAGCCAGGCATTTTATTTTCTTTTTAGTAATAAATAAATAAATAAATAATTCATTCTGTGTTTAATAAAAAAAAGATACATTTTGTGGTCTTCATACAGGATAGAAAAACAGAGTGAAACAGATACTAGTAAAAATATGCCTTCAATGACATCTTTTGGAGTAAGCAATAATCACTTGCTAGTGAGTTAACGAATCTCAATGTGGTCAGATAACCCTCATTAGACTGTTCACCTTATCACAATAATTAAGAGAACACTGTATCATGGGCTGTATTGCTTTTCTGCTACACCAAATGTAATAAGACGGCGTCTATTGTGAGGAGATTCTTACTATAACCCACAAAGTTTATGGTTTCCACGGTTAGTCCTCTAATGAGGGTGGAGAGTCTTATAAATTTAATTTGATAGCTATACCAGTAGGCTCATTAGTTCTGCTCCAAAGAAATGTCTCATTGTATTAGTCTGCGAATGCGGCTGATGCTTGCGGAATGTCATTTTAAAAAGATCTACTACCTGTACGTGAAATAGAATTTTGAGTCTTCTGTGCTTTGTACACCTTGTATATTAAATTTCTTGAACTGTAGCCGTGCAATTATTCGTCATTTCTATTTTGGTTCTACTGAGAAATCAGAAAAATTCAAACCCTGATTATTTCTTAAAAAATGCATTAAAACATTCATGAGACCTAAACTCAAAGCAACTTAATCAAATTGGATTTTATGAAAAAATAATAAGGGGCAAGTTAGGCAATCAGCTTTCAGGCTTCGTGGAGCTAAAAACAGGTCCAAAATAAGATAATAATTTGTTTTGTTTCTTTGGTGTCGTGAAGCACTGACTGAAGAATTTAGAAGGTTCAGATCAAGAGAGAGACTCTTTGGGTTCTTGTAAGATTTTGTGCAGACTCAAAAACTAAGAAATACAGTGATGTGTTTTTGAAACTCCTGACTTATCCTTTTTCTGTCCCTTCTGTTGTTTTGTATTTTAGATTTCATGACTACATGTAATTCTACAAGGGTCTTTTAAAAATAGGAAGCTCTATTTTTGATACTATATGTAGATAAAAATTTTAGATTTTTTTTAACTTTTAAAGTATTTTGGAGCACTTGTCTGGTGTCTAGACAAATTATCAGTTTGTAATTTTTTTTTCTTACCAGTGTACTTTCATGATTTCTAAAGGAAATCTCTTCTGGATGCTGGCTGATCTGAGGACATTGCTATAAAATTTAAAATATTTTTGACAACCATGGAGCATGTATGGGTCTGACCTAGGCCCTCTGTATATATGTTACAGTAGTGTAGCTTGGTCTTCTTGTGGGACTCCTAACAGTGGGAGTTGGGATGTCTCTGACTGTTGCTTGCCCTGGGGACTTTTTCCCCCTACTGGGTTGCCTGATCCAGACTAAATGCTGGGAGAGATGCCTAGGCTTACTGTAACTTGATATGCCTGCCATGGCTGATATCCATGGGCAGCCTGCCCTTTTCTGAGGAGAAAAGAAGGAGAAGTGGATGGGGTTGGGGTAGGGGTAGACCTTGTGCTGAGGCATTAGGAGGAGAGATGGAGGAGACGCTGTAGTCAGGGTGTAATATATGAGAGAATACGCTTAAAAATTAAAATGTTTTGTAGAGGAATTTTGGAAACTTTAAAGGTGTCTTATTAATTTGTTTAACAAAGTGAGAATAAAAATAAAATTTTGGTGGATTTTTATATTTGGGAGTTTCTTATTTTTGTCAGTGTCAGGGACAGGGGTGGGGCCTTTAGAGAATTTTGAGTGTGTGTGTGGGTGTGTGTGTGTGTTTGTATGTGTATGTGGGCATGTGTACACATCAAACTGTGTTAGGAAGGCATTGAATAACAGGACCCACCCCAGCAATGCTCACCATTGACATATAACACAATGTGATGGCTACACAGAAGACACACAAAGGTCTCAATAACTGCACCTCAGTTTGCTGGATACCTGACTAGAGGCTTCATCTTCTCATCTTAGAGGGATGATTTGCGATCTGGGCTTTGAAAGATTAGTATAAGTTTACCACGTGGACAAGAGGAGGCACTTTCTAAAAGAAAAACATCATGTCCTATGGGTTATGTACAAATGCCTTTGGGAACTATAGATTATTTAAGTGTGGATAGAAAGTAGGTCGGGTGGAAGTTGAGAAAAAGGGATTGAGAGAAGTTTGCAGAGTCCAGACCCAGAGCACGGCTACTAGGAAGTACTGGGTTACAGCTGAAGCATTGGGGGCTTTACAGAAGCTAGACCAGGCTAGAGACACGATCTAACGTAAGAGTTTAGAAACCTGCTGGGCATCAGAAGCATGGACCGATTACTAGAAAGAGAGACTGTAGGTCTAGTTGGAAGTACTTAAGAATAACCTGTTCTAAAAAATGCAGTAACATTAGTGAGGCATAGGGAAGAGAAGGGGAGGGCAGAGTGTGGGACACCATTCAGGTTCCAGCTTTAGCTGTTACACCAATGGACATGTTTCCATTTAATCAAGCACCATCGGTTACCACCTTGTCCTGGGTGAGGATGGAGTATGTTTAGGATTTATTAAATTTAGGGGGCTTATGAGACTATTATTTAGTTGGACATGTGAGTCTGGTATTGGGTGTGATATCCGGGTTGAACATATATGTGGCAGTGATGGCCTCATTAGGTGACAGTTGATGTGACAGTGGTTGTGATTTGGAGAATATGCAAAATAAGGATAAAAGAACGAGATCATGTGGGCGAGAACAACCCTCTAAAGAGAAAGGAAGTTATGCAAGACCAAAGGGTAGGCAGAAAATTAGGATTTATAAGCAAAATAGTAACAGCAGTAACTCACAAAGCATCCTCTTGTAGTTGAAATGGAGACATGGGATTAGGATAGACAGTCTTAGAGAATCAGTGTGTGAGAGGGAATAGAAAGTATCCATTCATCTAGAGCTGAGGCCGTCAGCCTAACATCCAGGAAACAGCATGCTTACAATGGTGAGGGTAGAGTTCAGCTGAAAACAAAAAAAGCAAAAAAAAACAAACCTTTAAAAGGTTTTGTTCGTTTGTTCCTTTGGTGTTAGCTTTGGATTTAGGGGGAACATTGCTAACCTGTATCTTCCAAATAGGAGCTGGTCAAACACACCCATGACCCTATGGAGAAGGCAAACCTGAAGCTAGCTCTGGATGCAATGAAGGTAAGGCAGCTGCAGTGGGAACTTGCTGGTGTCTTGTATTGCTGCCCAGAAAAAATGGGATCCAAATGCTAGTGTGTATATGTGATACCCTGACCTGTTAACATTCATGCTTGTTATTGGTGAGGCAAGTAAACTGATTTGCTGAAAAATAGATACTCATCATGTTACTATTGTCTGCTTTTATGAGCCTGGGACTTCCTGGTACTTGCTATGTAACCTAGACTGGCCTCAAACTGTGGCTCACTTTTCGCCTCAGCCTCTGAAATGGAATTCTTATGTAAGTTTTAGTGCCAGGCAGAAGCGCCATAATTCCAAGAGGGGTGCTGAGACTACCTTTGTACAGTGTGCTCACTTCCTAGCCTCCAGGAATGACTGCATATAATGACTTTGTTCCACAGTCTTCTTGTTGTTTCGCATAGACCTGTTGGCTTGAATAAGCTGGGGGTCACCGGCGACTAGAATCGCCAGTGTGGTTCATTTTCCCAAGACGGATCCTCTGCCAGGTAGCCTGTGGTGGATTCTGTACAAGGGGATTTCACTTTGGGTTTTTGTTTCCGGTTAAACCTGGAAGTCAAGAAGTAGATAGATAGAAGCACATGTGGTCTCGTTGGGGAATGTTTGAAGGTACAAATTCTACATTATGCTTTGTCAACTTCACTCTGAGAAATAACTGAAACAGAATCAAGTATTTGTTTCTGACAGGAAGTGACAGGGCATTATAGCTAGTTAACTGCTCTGAACCAGTCTTAGCATTGGCTCTGCTGTTCAAATGAACATAGTGCGAGCATCAAGACCATTACTTGATTGTTTACTGTGGCTAGAAAAGCAACAGATTTTGTGTCCTTCAAGGAGTCATTTATAGATGGGTCCCATGAAAAGCCAAGCTTCCCCTGAGAACATTGTTAAGAATTGCTATTTGCAGAGCTGTGTTTCTGTTGCAGATGTGTTAAAGAGGCTAAAGAAAAAAAAAGATAGAAAAAGCTTAGAAAACAGGAAAATGTGGATCACACAAAATAAAAATAGCCAGTTACAGTATGGGAAGATTAGCTAATGCTTTTGCATTTTTTAAAAAGCCATTTTAAAATGGGTAAAGGCATGTAGAGGAACATGGCTGAAGATCTTGTTGACTGTTCCACCTCTGTGCAGCTCCGCTCTTCACCCCTCCTTTGTCTTCCTTTTACTTACTCTGAAATTGAACTAGCCTTCTTGACTGAGTGCTCTTAGGAGCTAATGAGACATTAACTGGTTTCAAAAAGACAGTCTTGCTGGGGCAACCTGTAACTTTGTGTTAGGTTTTCTTTGCGGCTAATCCTTCAGCCCTGCCTTTCATGTCACCTGGGAAAGATGCACCACTGTCAAGGGCGGCCATTATTGCTCCTGGAATGTAACTCCTCCTGACCTACTTTCCTTGGAACTTTGCAGAGACTTTCCTTGAGATTTTGGGTTTTTTGTTTTTTTAAGGCAGCAGTATCCTTATTGTCCTCAGGGGTGTGGTAGACAACAACTCTTCAGACTTCCCAGCTGCATACCCCACATTTTACAATTGGCTTTGAGATGCAGCTTTGATTGACTGAGTGTTCATTTTATTGTCATTGAGACATTATGGTAGTGACTTTCATGGCTGATGAAATTAATGATGTGTTTTTCTTTCAAAGCAGCTCGCATCTCTAATCTTCATGTGCTTTCTTTCTGCACCCTTCTCTTCGTTCTCTAGGACTTGGCACAATATGTGAATGAAGTAAAAAGAGATAATGAGACCCTTCGTGAAATTAAGCAGTTTCAGCTATCTATAGAGAATTTGGTATGTAATTATCCTCCCACCCAGCTTCTCCTCATCCCCAAATCTCGGGACATCCAAGAGCTGTTGTTGAGGAAAAGATAGTTTACCTTCAACTTTCAGCTGTTTAAAAGTTGTTTTCTCCCTCCTGTTTCTGTCTGGTCTTCACACTCATGTGACTTTGCCATTGTCCAGGTACCTCTGTTGCTTGCCTCTCTCCCTCAGTCTCTTACTGCCTCCTCTCCCAAGGGTCCCAGAGAACAATAAAGACAGTTCCAGTTTGGGTAACATGGCTAGAAAAAGTCCTGTCAAGTCACTTCTCATTTTAACTGGGTTCAAAGAATGAGAAGCCAGAAGATCTCTGGTGTTAGAGATCCAGGCGATGCCTTAACAATCGATAAGTCTAGAGATAAGAAGCACTTGGTATGTTCAGGAAGCAGAGAGTCAAGGGTTACTAGAAGTGGTGAGACAGAAGGTGATGGCCTCTGAGGTCACAGGATGGAGAACTGCATCCCTTAACCTTGTAGGCCAAGGGTAGGTTAGGGCTTTATTGTGACTGCAGTGGAGATCTAGGACAGTTTCTGTCTGTGAGTGTGCCAGGCTTGTTTATATTTCAAGAAGTCCCTTCAGAGAGGCAGCCAGGCAGCTATAGAAATGGATTCCAGAGAGAATGGAGGGCTGTATTTGGCCGGCGGGAAGTGCATAGGGAGAATAGCTTTGAGGTATTTTTGGTAAGTGATTTCACTGTATACTCTGAATGCCCCTGTAACGTTCCTTTCTTTTCCCACATGTAGCCACCTCCCCATTGCATGGTGTCATCACCTGTGTCCTTGACAATCCATATAACCATAAACAAGCTCTTTATATAGTTATGTTTTAAACAGCAGTCTTCCAAGTCATCTTTCTTCGTAGACTTGCCAAGATTTTTTCTGTTGTCTTCAGTGTTTATTGATTTAAAAGTCCTCATTGACCTGAACTTGACTGATTTTCAGAACTCAGTGAACAACTACCCACATGTGTTATATCACTGGCAGTATGCTGTGTTCACTGTCAGTCTCCAGTTTTCTATTCCTTCTCATGGTTCTACCTCTGAACATTGCCTACTTAGAGCTCAGAGTATTTGTCTCCATTATGGTCTATCACAGTCTTTCAAGGTCCAATCTAAAGGGAACGTTTGTCCCTAACCTCTCATCATCCTTCCTGTATTAGAATTCCACAGTATAATTCCTATGGAAGCATCAATAGTGTAATAATATGAGTCACATTAAATTGACCACCATAAACATGCGTGTGTACTTATGACATTCAGTATATTTTCAATCTTGTATAGCCATTGCCTCCATCCAAACTCCTGAACTCTTTTCATCCTGTGAAAATGTGTTTGCTGAGCACAGACCTCTCACTCTGTTCTCCCCACAGTCCCTGGCACCATTCTTTCTGTCTGTGATTCAGCACCTTTGATGCCTCTGATTTATAGAACCACATGATATTGGTGTTCTTGTGACTGATTTATTTTATAAGCATTCATCCATGTTGCAGAGTGTGAGTCTCATCTCCTCAAGGCTGTGTGATGGGTGTTCTATTCCATATTGTATCTTTTTATGCAGAGAACATTAGCTTCTTTCCTATTTGAAGAATCATATGTAATGCTGCTGTGTGCAGGGGTGGGCGTGTGCCAATGTCTCTTTGAGTGCCCACTTTCATTTCTTTTGATTGTATAGTAGGATTTCTGAACTGTATGGTAATTCTGTGATTAAATTTTGAGTTATTTCCATTCCACTCCTGACAGCAGCTGCCCAGTTTGGCCCCAGTTTCTTCATGAACTTGGCAAATGAAGATTTTCAGGTCTCTTTTTAAATATTTTCTTCTGCAAAATATATATCCAAATGGGTGTGAGATGGTATCTGATTGGGGTTTTGATAACATTTTCCTAATGGTTAGTGGTGTTAAACATTATTTTGTGTGTTCACTGGACATGCTTGGTTTGGAGTTCATATGAGTATCTTGGCTACTTTGTAGTCCTGATGTGATGTGGGGTGTGTGTGCATGCACACTCACATGTGTGTGTTTGTAGGAGTTATTTATACATATATTCCCATTGGTCCCCATCATACAGGTGTGATAGAGAGACTCTCTTCTGCAGACAACGTTGGTTGGTGGCTCCATAAGTTTCAGGTTACCCATCTTCCCTTTCTTGCCTACACTTTTAATGTCACATCCAAGAACTCATTGCTAAATTTAATTCTGTAAAAAGCTTTATCTCTATTTTCTTGTAAAACCTTAATAGAGTCAGCTCTCATGTGTAGAGCTTTGCTCTAGGTAGTTATTTTTAGATACAGTATAAAGCTAAGGTCCAACTGTATTCTTTCTCTTGTAGATATATCCTTTGCATTATTTGTATACTTTATTCCCCACTCCTATTGAGTGTTCTTAGCGTTTTTTGCAAACAAGTGTGGCTTATATGTGAGCGCATACCTAGAAATCACATCTATATCTTTTATTAGAATGAAATCATTGATACTCTTCAGTCAATTCTCTTTTCCTTAACAAATACTATCATCCCTGAATCCCTGGCTCAAATCATGTCCTCTTCCTAGACTCTGCTTTTGGGACAATTATGTGTGTCTGTAGTTCCATGTTCTGTGAACATATGTGTCCTGTGTGTGGTGTGTTCTCTGAACACGGAGGCTGCCTCATTCCACCCTGCATGCATGACAAATAACACATACTGTAATTTTTCTTGTGATTAGTATCATTGCAGTGATTAGTATCATTTCCCCCTTTAAATAATATTTTTATTTTTTGAGATTAAAGTGTAATTACATACATCATTTCTCCCTTTCCTTTATCCCTGCCAAACACTCCCCAGTAACCCCATCCTGTTCTCTTTCAAATTCTTGGCCTCCTTTTCTTCTTTAATTATTGTATAAATACACCTTGCTCAGCCTGTATAATGTTACTTCATGTATATATTTTCAGGGCTGACTATTTGGTAGTGGATAAACAATTTATGTGCTTTTAACCTAAAAAGAACTATTTCTCCCAGTCTCAGCATTTCTTAGTTGCCTGTAGTTGTGTTTTGTTTGTTTTGTGTTTTGTTTGTTTTGTTTTGTCTAGGCTTGGGGCCTTCTGAGCTTTTTCCTTTCACATTAGCAGGTCTTTTTGTCTTTGTTCATCTCGTGTTTAGGAAGACATGCTGGTGAAATGGCATGGTGTAACCATTCCGATATTTTAGGAGACACAATCTCACAGGAAACTCACTGGTCTTCTGATCTTTCTGTCTCTTCTGCGATGGTTCCTGAGCCCCAGGGGCAGGAGTGTGTTGTAGACAAATGAGTTGGGACTGTGCCCCACAGTTCTACGTTTCGACTGGTTGTGCCTCTCTTGTCTCTGCTGCAAAGAGAAGTTTTCTGAGTGAGGGGTGAGAAGTACGCTGATCTTCGAATATAAGGACATCTACTGAGAAGATAATTAGGGATTATGCTGGTTTAGTAAATAGTAGTTGCTGGTTCTCCTTCATCATCTGTGACTTCACTAGCCCCGGATACCTGGATAGGTTTTTAATCCCAGGCATGTTTCTTCTCTTGTTGAGTGTACCTTATGTCCTTTTAGAGAGCTCTTGGTTACTGACAAGTTATATGTGTTAATATAGATTGTATCCCTATAGTTATTGTGGCATGTTGGTAATTAATGTGGTAATTCATAGGCATCATACCTGGGTAGGACTGTTGGTTGCTGCCTTCCTTTAGAGGCTTGAATGGTACCTTGTGGTACAGGAGAGCTAGTCCCCAGGAGGGTGAGGCTTTCAGGTCAGATCCATCTCTGGTAACTTCCCTTATAAGGTTATATGTGGAAGTAGTGTCCACAATATGTCTGATGTTAATTACAATAGATGAGTTGATTTTCAGATCTTATCTTATATCCAAGTCCTATGCATTTGAGAGTAAATGTGTTAAAATAAATAAAAATGATATCAATTGTAATGTGATAGGGCTGTTGTCCTGGAAAATGTCTTTACTGATGTTTACTTCCGTTTTTATGTGATTGTGGAAGGGTTAGACACACACTTTAGATTTATTTAAAGACGTATGTGTGTTTTAGAACCAGCCAGTTTTGCTCTTCGGAAGACCGCAGGGAGATGGTGAAATACGAATAACCACACTGGACAAGCATACGAAACAAGAAAGGTGAGTGGCGTGCTGTGCACTCTCACAGTGGTAGGTGCTATCCCAGGAATGATGGCGTCAGTCAGCTGCTATTCTAGAACAGTGGCTGTGTGCAGGCCAGGGGCCGGCCAGTCACTGCTCCCTTGTATTTTCTAATGTATGTTCCATCCATTACTTCTCTTTCTAGCCTGCACTCCATTGATTTGCATAAGGTTTTAGGAGCTAAATGAAAATGTTAGAAAATAAGATGCATTTCAATCATGAAATGCCACCACCAGACGATTGCTGTAAAACCACGATTGCCTGTTTTAAAAGACTCATTTGAAAATTAACTGAAAATAATGAAAAGCATCCTAAGGGATGCCAAATGGTAACTATTTAGTAATATATTTATTCAGGGAGACCTTTAGGCAGAGTCCTTGAATATCCTTAGTACCCTTGGCCTTTTATCCTCTATCACTACAGGTGATTGTCAAACAAGCTTTTGTGGGGGTTTCCTGGACTCTTTGTAGAAGAAAAAGTCTGCCAGCAGGGGGCAGCATTGGCCCTTGTTTCCACCTTGATACCCTGACTCCTCAGGTAGCTCTCAGGAGCCACACATTTGACTTTGAAGATGAGGAAAGTGTTTGAACACTGGAAATGTGTCATTGTCACAATCATTGGTTAAGAATAAGTGTGTTAATCACTGAGAGTTTTAAAAAGCACACATTATTGCAGTTGGATAGGGTTAGAAGATTTGTTTCCTTCCCCAATTAGCGTTGCTTTTAATAAGAAAAAAAATTAACACAGAAACTTAACCATCACTTTCCTGGCTTGCAGTTTCTCTTACACCCAAGCTACGCTTTAGGTGACCCATTAAATTGTGACACCAAGCACACGGAGTGAAGGCACAGGTTCTAAAGTTAGCCTGGGTGCTATCTTACGCTGTACCGGATCATTTGTGTAACTTTTGGCAATTTACATACAACCCCTGCCCCCCAGCATGGGTTCGCTCACCCAGGAGGAGAGTAATCCTGAGCCAGGTGGGGACCCCGGGAATTTTGTTTGTGGAATGGATGAACAGTTCCCAAGGCTTTTGATTGATTGTTATTATGGTTGTAGAAGATCTACTGTCCTGATCCTGAATTATTTTCTGAGATTTTAGCATTTAAATAAAGAGAGAGCAATTGTTTATGAGGAGCTTTATGGCCTATCTCAGTGAGTATTTTCAGTGACTCTAAAGTGTATGGATTGCTTTTCTAATGATTCTTCCCTTTCTTTATGTTAAAATGAGAACTGGGTGGAATGGCAGCGTTTCTCCTTCCGTGTGGTGAAGGACTGCGATGTTCCTGTGGGTCTGTATTCCTTACAGCTTCTACTGTGCAGTCCTGCCTGTGGCCCTTAATGCAGAAAAAGAATGCTTGGCTGGTGTAGTCGCATCTTGACAGGAAAGAATATATGTGCTTGTAAACCGTTTGCTGTCAGTCACCCACACTGTCTCTCTTTCACAGGCATATCTTCTTATTCGATTTGGCAGTGATTGTCTGCAAAAGGAAAGGTGATAACTATGAGATGAAGGAAATAATAGATCTCCAGCAGTACAAGATAGCCAACAACCCTACCACTGATAAAGAGAATAAAAAGGTGACTTCTGAGGAGGCTGCAAACAGTAATTTATGCAGAGCTTTGAATATTAAAATACAGTCATCCCTTTGTGTCTAGACCCCTCCCTGTACTGCAGACACCTGAATCTGCAGATACTCAGGGCCCTTATATAAAATGGCTTACTGCTTACATGTAACCCATGCATGTCTTTGTACATAATTTAAAGCAACTCTAAGCTCTTTGTAATATCTGAGGCAATGCTTGAGTTCCGGTAAGCAGCTGTTATACTGTATCATTTAGCAATAATGACAAGAGAAACAAGTCTGTACATGTTTAGTACAGATGCAATTCATATTGTTTCCATCTGCAGTTGTTGAATATTTGAGCATAGGACTCGCAAATCTGGAGTCAGATGTACGTATGTACCTTAGAGTGAGAAGATGCTCACTGAATCAGACATTGAGTTTTCAGAGATTGATTTGGTACAGGTTCCAGTGAGCTATGATTGGGTCCTGACAGAGTTGATCTGACCATTTCCAGTTCCTCAGCTCAATATGGTAGCAATGATTTTCTCATCAATATTCAACTGGTGACTGATTTTCTTCTTAGTATGAAGTTGGTTACAATCATCATTGTTAATGCTGATAGCGATACGGTTTTGTGTGCACGGTTAAGATGGTGCTGCAGTGGATTTGGAGACAGGTTTTTAACAAGTGATAATCATTAACTTGAAGAATATTCATTTTCACAGTGGTCTTATGGCTTCTACCTCATCCATACCCAAGGACAAAATGGGTTAGAATTTTATTGCAAAACAAAAGATTTAAAGAAAAAATGGCTGGAACAGTTTGAGATGGCTTTGTGAGTATCTTTACTTTTAAATTTTATTTGTGTATGTGGTGTGCACTTGCACAAACGTGTGTGTGTGTGTGTGTGTGTGTGTGTGTGTGTGTAGGCCAAAGGTTTTATCTCCTTTAGTGTCTGCCCTTTATATTGAGCCAGAGTCTCTCAAATGGATCCAGAACTCACTGATTTGGCTACACCAGCCAGATACCTTACCTCTGGGATCCCCTCTATTGGCCTCCCAAGCTCTGAGACTAAAGGTTGACTGCCACCTCTGCTTAGGTTTTCCTTGGGTGCTGAGGTTTCACACTTGGGTGGTTATGCTTGGCTGACAAGTGCTCTCCCTAGTGAGCCTTCTCCTCAGCCTACATTTAAGAGTCCATTGTGTCTACTATTTAAATCACTGACCACAGGAGGTGCTGTCTAGGAGTGGCTGCTGGTGCTGCCTCAGAGGCTCTGAGCAGGGATGCTAGGGCCCACTAGGAGCTAGCTGGTCATCCGGTCTGTGAGAAGAGTACTGGTGAATTTCTTCAAAAAGAAGAAAGAGGGAGCTCAAACCTTCCCTTTGACTTGCTTCTCCTAGAAATACTTTCAGTTTTTACCTTTTAGTGCCTCAAGAAATTTAATTATAAGGATAAATTTTTCCTGTAATTACTAGTTTTAGTATATGTCCTTAAATTAAATATTTTTATTTATAAAATAAATAAATTATACACTCTTATTTATAAAAAAAATCTACTGATATGCACATGGGTGCACATCCTTTGCTTCTAATATAAAGACTGATATCTTCCTTCAGTTTCAAACTCACTTATTGTTTGAATCCTTGCTGAGTTTCAGGTATATGCAATGAATGCTTCAGGGCTGGATTTCTTTCAATGTTCTTTCCTTTTATTAAAGAGGAAGCTCAACAAAGAGGTGAAGAAAACCCAGACCTGGTTCAAAGGAAACAGCACACAGCTATAATCACTGAGAACACACTGTTGGGTGTTTCTTTGTAGTTTTGATGTTTATAAATTAAGAAGGTACATCATGACCCTTATTGTGGTGGCACATTGGTCACCCTGAAATGAAACTGTTAAAAAGGGTAGAATTAAAGGAGAACACTTCAGAGATTTGTCTCCTTGGCTTCTAGTGTTGCTTACCACTCCCTGACCAGTTCTGTCAAGATTTTATTGCTTGTTTTGATCTTAAGGAATACTTGTGTTAATATAAAATTGAGATAGAATTAGGATGATTTCTGAAGTTTTTTTTTTGCATGTGTCTGAGTGTGTGTGCGTGTGCATGTGTGTATGCACACACTCACAGTACAGCATGTCTGTAGAGGTAAGGGAGCAACTCTCAGAAATAGACTTTTGTTCTTCTATCATGTGGGCTCTGGGGATGGAACTCAGGTCATCAACTTTGTTAGAATGACCTTTACCTGTCGAGCCATCTTGCTGGCTCAAGACTCTTATATTTTGAAAGACAAGATTGTATAGATTAGAAAAAAAATCCAGCATAAAACAAGTCTGTGTTTTGCTATAATCATAGCTTTAGCTGCCTATTGTCTTAGCTAAGTCATTTGTTTTCAGAAGCCTCAGTTCCTCCATCTGCAAACAGGGATAGTGATGTTTAATCTGAATTGCAAATACTATGTCAGCAAAATGCCAGCCATTTTCTGCAGTGTAAGGCTTATGGCAATCACAAGGTGCTATCTATTGTTATGGCTGCTAGCAGTAGTAGTTTATACTTAAGACCCTAACATGCTTGTGAGAACAAAGCTAACACTTTCTGATAGAGTAGTATAGTCTTTAAACTGGATTTTGATTATAATAGTTAAGTACAAAAGGTCAGTTGTATTAAAGGTTGCATTAACATGACATCTGCATTGGAAATTGCATTTATTTTGGGCACAGGTGTTAAGTGGGTGATGTTGGTCCACTCTGTGATCTAGAATTGTCAACCTCATATACCTTGTGCTCCTTCAGTGGGACACCTGGAGTTGTGTGGTAGAAATCAGAGCCGTAAGATGCTGGGGGAAGTCAATGTATCCAGAGGCAGAATTGATCTCAGACTTTTGGCCTTGTGGGAAGGATGCCAGACTAGAATTTTCTCATGTTTTTCATGAGCTGTGGAATCTTTCTCTGAGTGAAGGAGTTTCTCCAGGGGAGGGCAGCTAAGTGTCTTGTCTCAGAGGAGGCAGGGTCCTAGGACTTCATGATAGTCCTATCAGTGACCATTTTGATACATTTTCTTACATCAAATATCTCATCCCTAGTACAAGATAAGTGATATATGCTTATCCTCTTGCATGTGAACAAGAATCTGCGGTAGGCAGAGGCTTTCAATAGGTGGCTGTCTGAGCTTCCCCTCCCTTTCAGGCTCATGTTCTTGTCTACTGACCTCAGCATTTGGTTTCTGTCTTCAGTGTTGGTTACTTTAAAGTATAAGATGGCTACTGGAATTCCAGCTATAAAATCTACCTGGTAGATGCCAGAAGGTAATCCTTCTCTTTTGATGAACCTTCAACAACATGTATTTTTCTTAAATCAATGCAGAACTTGGACATCTAACTATACATGACAAGGGGGAGGCTGACATTATCGCTCCTGCTTAACATGGGTTTGTATCAAGGTTCTCATGCTGTGAAAGAAGGGAGGGAAGTGGCCTTTTAGATGCAGGCAGCTCGCAGTTACAGTTTGCAGGGTACACAGGGCATAGGTGGAACTGAGGTGCTCCCCTGCACTCACCCCTTCAGGGGCCAGATACTCTACATCTATGAATACCTTTGAAGCACCCCAGTAGTACACAAGTAGGACGAGTAGGAGCCATGTTTGTATTTTGGAGGTCTGATGACTGATTTTCTGGAAGACGTAAAAGATAGACATGCTTTTCTGCAAAATTACTCAGAGCTGAACCCTAAGGGGATCTGTAAGCAGAAGTTAAAACATGCAGGGCAAAATAAAAGCAGGACTTAGTTAAGGTGCCAGCCAATCTATTATCTTAATATCCTCTCTTCCTTTTGAAGCTAGTTATACCAGGAAGCCCCAATAACCATGCTATTAGTTTTCTAAGACAGATCTTTCCTTGCTCTTTATGAAGTAGAATAATCCGGGTAAATGCCGATGCTTATGATTTTGCCCAAGGATAAGATTTGTTCTGTTTTGTTCACTGTTTCCTATCTTTCTGCTATTCTAAGTCATGGAACACAAAGAAAACCAAGAAGCATATGGTATTATAACAATGGAGAAATGCAGAAAGACTTCTGTACCTGTCTGGGCCAGCTCTTCCCAGTGTTTTTAGCTTAGCCTGGGTCTTATCTTTGTGGAACTCTCTGGATTGTGCCTTAGAGGAATGTTGAAAAGGATGATGGTGGTTGATTAGTGGAATTGATGTTTTTAAGATGGATGAAACGTTTGCTCATTTCATTTACAGAAGATGACAGACAGTCCTGTTTATAGGAGGAGCAGACTGTTTTTGTTTAAAATATTTGCAGATACCTTTAAGGCGTTTCAAAGTTGCTGTTAATTTGGTACATTAGAGAAAAAGACAGAGAGTGCATGGATACCTGTAAGCAATGAGGATGTACAGGACACAAGCCATCTCTCAGTGGTGATCTGGATCTCAGCCTCTGTCTTTCCTAAGCACACCCAACCTTTGCTCAGCAGCACATTCTCTGACCTTGTCTGGCCGTCACGACTTCCAGCATTTAGAGTCTGCAGTGAAACACATTAGAACTTGGCTACATCCTTAGAAAAAGCTGAATGGAGAGAGAGAGGTGGCAGTGACCCACTTGGATAGGGAAGAAAAAAGAAGTTGTCTCCCTTTTTCCTTACTTAAAGGGGTAGTCGTACTGGTTGTTGTTGAGGTTGTAGAAGACATTGTGGAGCTAAATGATGCTTAACTGCTCAAGTGCTGGGAGCCTCATCTAAGCATCCATTTACATGCTTAAGAGGCCGATTGGTCAGGATGCATGGCTTGCTTTCATTTTTTTCCCCAAAATGACTTTTGTTGCCAATTGTCTTCTATAATTCTATTTGATCATCTGAAAAATAGGAAGACAAGTGCCTGTACTCAGTTCGGCTGGGCTTGATATGGATGTGGGCACCTAGAGCCAGCCGCGCTCCACCTTTTGTTAGGAGGCGGTCACTCTCTTCTCATACCCCTTGTGCTTACTGTGTTCTTATGGATTCTCTGATTAGCTTTAAATGAATAAACCTCCCAGTAGTTTTCCAGGCTAGGAAACCAGTGATCACAGGATCAGGTCTGCAGTGTTGAACAGTGTTGCTACTCTATCGTTACCACCGAGTTTGGTAGCTCAGTGCACAGAATTGTCCCTATCCATGAAGGTGTTAAGAATCTGACTGCATTTAAAATTGCTTTATTTTTGCTTGTTTTTTTATTGTGAAATATACAAAGGGATCCTTGATTTGTGTGTGTGTGTATGTGTGTGTGTGTGTGTACTGCAAGACTAAGTCCAAACTGTGCCAAATATAAAATAAATGAAATCAAAGAACAAGTTTTAAAGGTGATTTTTTTGAGACAGAGCCTCATGTAGGTCTGGTTGACTGGAGCTCCTTAATAGCTGAGGGTTTAATTAAACTCCTGATTCTGTTACCTCCAAGTTTCCAAGTGCTGGGATTGCAGGTCTATAGGTGTGTGTTACATGCCCAGTCTCAAAGCTTTTTAAAGGAAGACCTGGAAAGAGAAAGAAAAGATAAAGGCAGGAAGAGAAGTAGATATGCACAGGGTAGGTTCAGGATAGCTCTATAGCATTTATTAAGGAAACTGAAAGGCCTTAGATTTCTTCTCATCAGGCCGACTCAATTCTTGAAGCTTTAGCAATTCTTGCTTACTCCCTTGAAGGTACACAGGCCGTTATCACAGGCACCATCTTAGATTTTTAACTGTATCATGACTGGCTGGCAGAGTGCTGAGGGAATGCCCTAAAGAAAAAAATAACACAGAGGCCAGCCAGTATCTGTTTGGATATTATTCATCCTCTAAAGCAAGACTGATGGCTGTGGCAAGAAGAA